TCAAAAACAACCAATTTGACGAAGCAATGAAGCTTTTTCTGTCAATGAGAAGTGGGAGGATTGATGATTTGGGTCTATCCACTTACAGGCTTGTGATTACTTCGATGTGCAAAAGAAGCAAGCTCACCCAGGCTTACCTGGTGTTTGAAGAAATGCGGCCGAGAGGAATTCGTGCCGATAATCCGACACTTGCAGCTCTGGTCTACGGACTGTTAACAAAAAGAAGGATTAGGGAATCTTATAAGATTGTGGAAGAGATTGAGAATCCAGATATAAGCGTCTATCATGGGCTGATTAAAAGATTGTTGAGGTTAAAAATGGCGAGAGAAGCAACTCAAGTGTTCAGAGAGGATCCAAACCGGATTGGATTGGACCAATACCCGGTCCATTGACAACCCTTTTTGGACATAAAAGAGAATTAAAAAACAAAATAAAACAAACAAACGACCTGATGAGATTGCAACTTCAGCTTCAAATTTGAGGTCATCCTCAAAAAGCTAGAGTTGTCATTTCAAGTATTAAGATTAGGAAAGAATGAGAAATTAGAAAAAAAAAAAAAACTATAGATTGAGTTTCAATGGAGAGATAAAGGAAGATACTACAATAGTCTCGTTCGTTTGTCGGTAATTAATGGGGTAAATCACTAAATTGGTCAATCGGGTATTAATGGGTTACATTGAATCTCACAGTAAGCCATGATTCCAAAGAGTATAGTTAGCCAGGTAACTGATACCCTCCTCGAGGGTGGATAACCAACTTACCTGCTTAAAATAACGCTCCCTCTCTATCGCCTTTCCCTTTACCTGAGTAACCTGTATGGCTGTAAGGCTGGAACCTTTCTTACCCAGACAAATATTGCAGGTTGCTCTTTTATTCATTGCATCTTGCAGTGTATCAATCCCAAACGTTTCTGGTTCAAGGTTGTCCAGGTAGATGAAAATGCTTACAGGGATATGATACGACTCGCCACAATTGATAATTTCCTTGAGAAACTCGATTCCTTCATTTTTAACGTCAAAGTCAATTCCTTCGAGTCACTTTCCAAGAGTCCATGACAATAGAATGGGTCTTTCTGGTTTTTGCTAATTTTGCATCCTCCAAGCTTCCGAACCGAATGCCTCTAATGGTGATGACTGATGATGCCTCACATTGTTCTATCCTGGCAGCCAAAAAGTATAGAGGAAGATGCTCCTATTAAGTAACAACCAACCCATCTCCCTTAAACGATAAAAACCTCATCAGTATTCACTTCAACGGAACCCCCCGAGTCTGGAGGTCTGAGTCTTTTTGATAAAGACCCCCTGATTCGTTACCATGTTTTATTATGATACTGATTGATTGGTCACAATTTTTTAGGATATCATGTCTTTCTGGCATCATAATTGAATCCCATATAACAAGCAACCTTAATAAACTTCTCCAAAATATTCTTTTATTTTCTTTTATTTTCTTTTGTTATCTTTTGGCTTTCAGCCTTGACTCCACTATCTCCTCTTACTGGCATAGGTTCCTAATATCATTATTTTAAAAAATAAAATCTATTAAAAAAAAGATGGTTTGAAAAGTCTAGATTCCGCCCCAATTCAACAATTGAACTATCAAAGTTGATACAGTTTTTTAGGCTGTTTGTTAATGTTGATTTCATCAAGCCTACCTATATGCAAAAGGTTCAAAATATGGCAACTTATTGGTGCTATCATATATATCGATTTTCATTGTCTTTGATACATGAAATAATAATATTTAGAGATTTTTAATTGATTTAAATCAAGGTTTTTAAAACCGGACTAGATAGGGAACCGTTTTAGAGTTTGGTAAAAACTAAATAGTAAAGATACGGTGAAAACTGTAACAATACATAAATAATCCCAATTAGACCTGACAATTGGGTCATGGATTGACCCATGACCCAAACCAGGTTTTTTTTTTTTTCTCGATTGGGTCATTCACACATTCATGTAGCTAAATATAGGACCCTAACCCTCTTTTTTCGGGTTGGGTTGGGTCAGGTTCACGGGCTGTGTCAACTTTTTGCCAAGTCTAATGGTTTGCCACTGGCCATAATACGTTTGCCTACCTTATTTTCCTCTTTTACAAGTTGACTATGATATGGGAGACATGAGACCAAAAAAACTTATAACCAGCAACCAGTATCATAGAAAATAGGAAAATTAGTAAAAATTAATCATAATAATACAGTAGTCTTAAAAATGAAAATTTGTTAATTTAAAGCTCCATTAAGATTAATGGAAATTAATAAAATAATAATTATGTAAAATTAGCGTAAGTTAAAAATGATGAAAAAAATAATAGGAAATTGACTACTACTAGAGGCGCAACATGGATTCTGTTTGAACCATAACCCAAAAACCATTGCTTTGAGTTACAGTTAGGATGGATTTCACTCATTTGGGAATGTCAAATAAGTCTTTGTACTTTAATTTTAGGGTCATTTACTAGAACATCCTTATAGTTTTATGCATTTACTTAAGCCTATCTTATAATTTTCATTTTATTAAATCACCCCCTATAATTTGCAACCCATTTTCTTAATCAATCTTTCATTAAGAACTATTTGTTTTGCCATCTGAACATATTAAAATGATCACCAAAACTGAGTGGAAAATGTTCAAAGGGCATGAGCCCATGTTTGTTTATTCCAAAAGTACCCCTAATACTTTTTCATATATAGAAAACAATATTGACCAAATAAAGCAAAATAGAATAGTTGCACATGCCTTATTAGGGGCAAAAATGGTTTTTTTATTTTCTTTTGATTACATTTATTTGAATGGATGTTGGGGGTCAAAACTGTCATTTTCCACTTTCATCAAATAGAAGGTCGATTAAATAAATTGATTGCAAACTATAGGGATATTTTAGTAAAACTCAAACTATAGGATTGTTTTTAGTAAATCTATGAAACTATAGGAGGTGTTTTAGTAAATTACCCTTAATTTTATTTTACAAAGCTCCTACATAGGCATAGCATAGGGCTCTGCTAGTTTCTTATAAAACAGAGAGGGCCTCGAACTTTATGAGAAAACCTAGCCCGATTTCCATGACTACCCATCAATCAAATTCTAGCAACTGATAAGGAAATAAGGATCTAATGTAGTGTACAAATGGTGCTTTAAACTTAAAAATCCAGCTGCAGAGCAATCTGAATTTTACTCTTTATCACCTCTGCTTGTCTTGCATCATCAACTCTGAAGCTGGCAACTTAATGGTAACTCTTCCTGTGAAGAACTGAGATGGTCGAGTAGATGTTGCAACCTCTGAAGCTATATGTCCACTTGGATTGCATATTTGCCTTGAAACTGTTGACCTCATACCAAATAAATACATGCTACAATAGTGCTATTTAAGGGCCATTGTGTGTTTAAGTCTGAAATGGTAAAATCCTGGGCTGACAAGAGTGAAAATGCAGATTGAAGTCCGAGAGTGGCCTCATTGTATTGTTCAAGAAGAATAGCCAGGAGCATCATTAAGTAATGACCATTATAATTGCAACCATTTTATTCATTTCAAAAAAAAAAAAATTTGTAGGTTATATAGCAGCAGTAGCAGCACTTCTTATTGTAATTGTTATGACTAATAGTCAACATAGAAATTATTTGCCATGAGAAGAATAGAGTATCCATGGGAAGGAAATTTCTTTCAATGGTTGCCTTATTTTTTATGAAGGTTACAACTTACAAGCTGCTATACATTCTCAAGATGGGAAGATGGGAAAAAAAATCTGCATTTACACTTTCACCTTGGAAAAAACCCATAATACCTCCCTTCTTTTTACCTCACTCCTCAGGCAGCAGTTGATTCAACTTTTTTTTTTTGTTTTTCCCCGTAATTGCAACATATTATCATTGGTATTATTATATCTTCCCTTCTTTCATTCCCACCAAACCCCCTTAGAC